GGTCTTATAATGATCCATTTATATTACATATTTTATAAATTTACTGATTGCTCAGAAAATATGTCTTTTTTTTTCATGTTTTGTCTTGTTCAGGATCCTGCTATAAAGTTCTATTTAACTCTCCTTTTGTATTAATCCTGACAGAGCTATAAAATTTGCTTGTATGATTCTTATGGTCTTTGGGGTTTTGTTTCAATTTCCTTTGCATTTGGCTATATATTGGCATACAAGCTGTTCCTCACGATGCAAGAGAAAATACTTTTATATTTAAAAAACCTTTAACTGGTTAAGTCATTTGTCCGTATAAAGAACCACACAATAAGATAACACAGAAAAACCAAGTAATGAAGGTCTTGTAAGTGATATTGTGTATACTATTTCCTTGCACTCAAATGTAACTCGATTATCAGTGAATGTAACTTTTTTTGGGTGGATTGAAGATGTTTTGTAAGTCAGTGCTGCAAAGGATATTACATCACTAGGAGCTGTTTTTTAGAAAATAAAAAAATCCAACAGAATTTTCAGTTTATTTTAGAATCTATTTTACTAGCTTTAAATACTCTCCAAAATTAAACTCAGAATTAATATTAAAGCAATGTTGAAAATAAAACTTGACACAACAGGATGTGATGGCTGCCGTTCTGTCCTTAAACCACCTTTTTGCAACACACATAATACAGAATATTAATCAGTGTTTTAAGGCTGTGGCAGTTCCTAGAGACACAATGACAACTTAGGGACAGAACATCCAGCTTAACTGTGAATAGCATTGCCTTATTCTGCACCAGAATCTTCATATCGTTTAAAAATAGATTTTACTGTGTCATCAGCTCCATTCTGGTATCACTAGTAAACTGCACTAGGTATAAAAGCTGCAGAGGAAATTGTACCAGCACAGACACCAAAGTTGCTATTGGTAGTGTGCAATAGCTTGAGTTTTCATTTCACAAGACTGAATACTTTCAACCTCAAAATTTTTTTTTATTTCTAAAATCATACCAAGTATGTCAGCATGCTCGCATGCACCCCCGCACTGTGGAATTTTGATAATGTATGTCCTAACCGCTTAATTGATTGATTAGCTTACTGCAGCTTTCTGAGGCACCAAATTTATCTTTAATAGCCGGAGTCAGGCACGGCAGGCAATCGAGGGGGGGGTCCCTTGGCGTCGATTTGCTCTTAACTGGAAAGTCATTACCACTTAATACATGTAGATTGTGTTGAAAGAAAATTATGTGTAATGAAATGAGGGAAAAATTAGTGGAGTGTTATGGGCGAAAGCAGATGTTACGGAGGAATTATGCTAGCAGAGATAATCACCTTCGCTAGCATTGTGTGTGCTGGGGTGTTAACTCAGGGAGAGAGTTGGAGAGAGAGCTAAATAAATGCACTGATTTACACAGATCCACTTTTCAAACTACAGTATATGACTAGTACACACATCTACAAACACATCCATATATATACACACACATATAGACATGCTCAGGGCTGAACTTTTATATTTCTGAAGCTTTTTTTAGCTGTTTTCTAGCTACTCACACTATATTCAGAAGTCCTAGCTGGAAGCACAGGGAAGTAGCTGTCGATTTGCATAGTATTGTGAAGATGAGAATAATATCCAAGGGCAGAAGTACTCATATAAGCATTAAGATGAAACCTTGTATGCTTCAAACTCTGGACAACCTCTCCTGAGAGAAAACTGATGAATTTGAGAGCGGTCTTTGAGGGCAGCACCAGACATTCTCAAAACTATAAAATTGAAATAAATAGCAGATAGTTGCAAAAAAATTATAGAGACATAGAATGTTGTGCCTTTAGTTAAACAGCCTGTAAATAAAGAAGATAGAAGAAAAAAAAGAAAAAAATGAAGTCTTTCTTTTGATGCAAGTTAGGAATATGTTTTAAGGTAGTAGTTTTGCAGACAGGCAATAATGATAATGCTCAGAATCAGGACAAGGGAGAGAAGAAACATGTCACAGATTTTATTTTGAATGCATTTTAAAATTCTGTAAATTAATATTTCACCTGTGGGCATCTCCCTGTCTTTTTCCAGCCATGACTGATATATATGCTTGATTATATTTCTTATATTCCAGCATGCAAGGTCACTATTAATTTTTATCTTGGGTTTATGTATTTCATATAACATGTGTTTGGATTTAGAATTATCTCTGCTTTATCACCCATTTCATAATAAAAATGTGGTCTCAGAAAGATATTAGTTTGCAAAATTCACTATCAAAACCATTGATAATTAGGGTTTCCTCACATATCATTCTGTTCCTTCGCTATTAAATGAGGCTTTTATGAGTATAGTTATTGCTGGTGATAATAACACAAATTTTAAAAATTAAAAAAAAAACAAAACCAAGCAACAAAAAAACCCCTCAAGGTTTTGTATTCCCTGTATTACCATTCAGAGACAGGAGGTTAGCAAAAAGACTGTCAATTTTCTGTCACTATATTAATGAGTTAAAAGAAGTGCAGCCAGCCCCTCATGAATCAATTGGAAAACTATGATGAATGTTTCAATAATTAAGAGAATAATTAAATTGCTGAATGTAAGATGGCACTAAATGAAATAGCTTTCGTAACAGCAGCACATTGCTGTTTATAAATCCAAAGAGCCCCGTTTCACCAGCGCTGAGTCCGGCTCGGATTTATCTGTGTGTCTTGGACAGGCTGTGGGCCCAATCCTGCAGAAGCCCACCCTGCAGCCAAGGTACCTCCTGCCTTAGCCCTGCCTGAGGGCAATAATGGTGTGTGCAGAGCTGAGCAGGGGCAGGGATCTGCTGCTCCATCAGAGCCCCTCGGTGCCCCTCCAGCGTCCCCAGCCGCGCGCTGCACGTGGCCACCGTGGCGGTGCCCGGGCGATAAGCAGCTAAACTCACACAGATAACGAAGGCAGGGAATCCGCAGCCACAGCTGACACCCTGACGGCAGCATGCATGATGCTGGTGGAAATGCTTTTAAAAGGTGATATGTGTTAAAGGTGAACCGTAAAGCTGGAGTGAAAATTATGTTAAGTTCAGAAATATGTTCTGAATCTCGCAACTATCAGGCAAGTTTTACAGGAGCTTTCAAAATTCTCTTTTCTCCTGTACAATAATCTGGCAGTTTCTCCTTTGATAAGGACATTCCCAAACATAACTTCGTGTGATATCACACATATCAGAATCTAGGATGCTAAAAAATGAGAAATCCTAAAAAATTGTCTTTAAAACCAAGGTATCTCAGAGCAATGCACATAGTTTAAAAAAATATTATTTGGAGAGAAAACTGTAAACCATTCCCTAGTCTTGAAAACTTTTATAAGTCCTGGTGGGGAGGAGGAGATGGTGGACAATAGGTGAAGTAATTAACTAGTATATAGCTGTATTTTGTTTTGAAAGCATGTCACAGATTAGTTTGTTGGTTTTTTTCCTGCTGGAATATCAGCATCTTTAAGCAGAAGTCACAAATAAGGTAGGGCCATTTCAGGTGCAAAATTCAACCTAATGCATTTTGTTTTCCTGCCTATGAAGGTTCTGAAGTGCTTTTTACTGCCCTGTCTTTCTCACCTCCCTGTTTCACTGTTTGTTTGGTTTTTTTCCTTTTTCTCTCTATCCCCACTCGCTTCTGTTCACATACCTCCTTCTGTTTCACCATGCACCCATCTTCCACCAGTTCCTAGCTCTCCCTGCAGTGGGGGCAGGTTTTATTTGCTTGTAGGAGAAGTTTGTGGAAGGAAAATTTCTACTCAGTTCTGAGTTAGCCCCCTTTGGAGCTCAATCATAATGTCAGGCACAATTTCACCATCTTCTTCATCTCTTATGTTGCTGAATTTATTCTTCCTGTCTCCTTCAGTAGTGTATTCCTGCACAGTCAGAAAATCATCACTGATACACATATTTCACATTTGCCTTCATTCCTTTCCCACCTCTCTTCTGCCGCACAGAGGCACCTCAGACACTCCCCTGAACCCCATGCCCCCAATATGTTTCTTTTCCATTTTCCTCTTCCACCTTCAATGCCTCTTTCCTACTCATCACATAAATATATGTTCTGGGGTATTTCAAAACCCAGCATTATGTACTTGGAACACTAGTGATTTGAGGTGAAATGGAGAATAAATATAGCCATAATATGCTTTAAAATAGGTGAATTAGTTGAGCAGGAGACTTTTAATGCCACATGGGTGGTCAGTAAAAAAGTAACAATTACCATGAGATGGAATTTGATATACCACAGTTATTTGCTACTCTAGAGATAGAGCAGTACCATGGTAACCTAGACTCCACTGTGTGGCAAGTGTTGTTAATTGTATAGATTTTTAATGGGGATAATTGTACTTCTCTTGTCTGAAATCAATTTTTACTGGCAGTGACCAATGCCCAGAAGGATATTCTCAAAAGGATGTTTCATGACCTACAGTTTGTACACCTCATATTTCTTGCTTATAGTGATAAAATTTCACCCCATCAGTGGAAGGGTGTACATTTTTACCTTCTGATAAATGCTGATAAGAAATTAAAATATTAAAATTCAGATGGATAGATAATAATTTTCACCGTAGGTTAAGGAATGCTACATATTGATAGGCCAAGCCCAGAGAAAGGAAATTATCCTGTTTGTATTTGATAATTAATTAGATAACTTAATTTTCAAGTATTGTTATTACAGCTTCTTTCTTTAGTGTGGAATCTAGTTTTTACTGAAATATCCAGGTCTATAATTACGGCGGATGGAAATTTTCTTTGGCAAAATCTACTAGCAGTGGATATTGCTTTGCCAGAATTTAACATTCAGGTCAGAGGTTCTCTGCTGTATGGCTCTGTTTCAGGTGAATATTCAAGTCTGAGAAAAAGATTAGGGAAAATATGTTGTTAACAGTGTTTAAAAATAAATATACCTCTCAGCTGCTTCCTTAACAGCTCTTCAATATGAAAATGAGTCTCAAAAACTGGTCAAACTTCAAGCTGCTGGAAAAAACCCAACAACATTTATTTATGCTCATTGGAGGCTTGTTATGTTTGTCAGAGTGTCCATGCTCAACCAGGTTGCACAGTTACACCACATTTCCTAAGATATGCAGCCCCATCACTTGAGCAGGACTTTGCCCCTGCTTGCTGGAGTTGGCTGGATCTCTGGATATTAATAGAGACCATCTCTCTCCCCTGGTTCTGATGGAGCCCAAAGGACATGCAGCAGGAGGAAAAAGCTTCATACAGGAAGTCACCTAAAGATGGGAAAGAAAGGGTGTAAGGAACCTGGGCATGGAGAGCTCTGAGTGGGGGGTGGTGGGCAGAGCTTGTGCTTGACAACAAAAAAGCCACTTAGGACAGGGAGATAATAAGCACACACTTATTGATAGGTGTACATGCTCATCTTTAAAAATTATGGAAAAAAACTGAAAAAATTATGTTGGTCCAGAAAATGATGTATGAAATTGGCCACAAAATTTAGAAACATGGCAACATTTAGATTCTGATTAAGGAGGAACATGTGGTATGGACACTATCCCCAGCTTTGAGGAGAATAACTAAATGAGCAGGAGTTGGATATAAGATTACACAAGTGTAAGAAATGTGACGAAAGGTGTGAATGAGTGCTACCTGAAGGGAGGTAAGAAAAGGAGAAAAATATTACATATTGGAAGGAAGAGGAAATCTCTTCCATCCACCTCTATTAAGCCTAAACAAAAATAACTAGTCCTGAGTTCTGATTTCACTGCACTGTTTAACAAAGTAATTGTAACTTCCATTCAAATAGTTTTCCATCCCATGCACAGTAACAAGTTATGCAGAGGGTAACTGCCTTCCACCACTTCTGTGTGAAGATCAGAACAAACAATGCTATTTTTGCTTGTTCAATTCCTATATTTCCAAAACATAATGGAAATGCAGCTATGAAATTTAAAGTAAGCAGTGACATTCTGAATTTCACCACTCAAAAACTGCAAAATACCTGGATTAAAGCTGCTATGGCAGTTGCTATTGATTACAATCCATCCCTGTTCCTGAGAGTGGAGTTCCAGTTTGCCTAACCAGTGTAAATGAAACATAAATTTTATGGATAAAATCCCAATCTGGCAGAATTAATCGGAAGGTTTTCAGATTTTCTATTGATTAGATAGGGAATTTATTCACTAATTTTAACAGCCCTGTTTCATTAACTACCAAAAATTTATGAGCAAAACAAGTACTAGGACTACATCCAAAGGACTGCGCTTCACTTCTTATCCCTTTGAAATGAAAAAGCAATAATGCATGCTGAAGTGTTCACAATTGTACACTTCTGTTCCCTCATACTGTTCATCTCCCAGTCCAAAAGAAACTTTGCAGAAAGACCCAGATCTCTCAGCAAGTAAGCAAAGTCACCCATCCAGTGCCCTGTGCACAAGAAATACTGCACAATATAAATGTTTTGGACAATAATTTTTTTTGTCTCACAAACTGCACAGTAGAGTTTTAGAAATTAGAGAGTAGAGTAGAAAAATGTGATGATTTTTCACATCTTTGTTCTAGTTGCCCAGATGAAGAAAGGGAACTATCTGACTTTTGCTAGAAAACCATTGACATTTTAGTGAGGATTAGTTAATTTATGCTGTAGTAACAGTCTGCAACTACAGTGAGGTTCTTGAGGATAGCCTTGCAGCTAGGAGGTGAAATTCACACTAAAGGTGCATCTTTCTCATCTCAGTTTTTATGCTCCATTATATATTTTCTATTATAATGTGGAGTGGAGGATCACAGAATAGAAAGCTGATGCATTTTAACAGGAAATGTTTGCTTTCAAAGAAGTATACCTCTCTTTACAGAAAGCCTGGGTAGAGTTTCAAAAGTATTTTTGTCCCTATAGCATCATATTATCTTTTATATTTTTTAATTGAATCCTCATCCTGGAGGCAATAGGTGCTGAACAAACTAGACCTCCCAGGTACAACTGCAGTGTATTAAGTCTGGGCTTGAAAAATAGGAGATAGTTATTTGGTGCTCAAAGATATTTACTTTAAATCTGTGGGGGGTTTTTTGTTGCTTTGGGTTTTTAGCTTTTTTTTTTGGTTGGTTGGTTGGTTTTTTTGTTGTTTTGTTTGGGTTTTTTTTTTTTTTTTTTTTGTGGGGATAAGGGGAAGGAGAAGTTTGCTATTATTTCCTTCCCACAGCTACTTCATCAGAATAGAGAAGCACAGGATGAAATGAATGGAAAGCAGAGAGTTGACAATATTTTTCACAGACTCTACTATAGCTGGCTAAATGATATTAAAAAAAACCCCTGCCTTTGATGGAATTCGGAAATAGATTGCTATCAACCATTGTTCATTTACTGGAATTTGCAAATGGATTCCTCTCACCCATACTGTCTTCTAGTTGTGTTTGCTTTCTAGGGACATTTGTAGGATTCAATTACTATTGTGGCTATTCACTGAGAATTTCAGAACAGCATGCACAAGTATTGATGGAAACTGGGTATTAGATTCACACACATGAATATGGGCACACTCAACACATTGGAAAAATAAATCAACACCATGTGACTCATCAAAGCAGTCATATCTAACAAAGCTCAAGAAGTGATTGGGGAATGTTCACAGAGAAGTGTTCCTGAGCAATTAGAAGTACTTAGAGAGGAAAAAGGATCTCTTTGAATTCTTTTGCATAATAAACTCAAGGAAACCTCAGTCTGCCCATGGAGATCCCATAGGCAGAAAAAGGGCTAAACTTACTGACTAAACTATTCATTGTGAATTATTCCCTCTGCTCTAATGTCTGCACGGCATGGAAGCATGGTGCCAGCACTGCTACACACTGTAATTTTACTCTTCTAGGAATAAAGTGGGAATATACTGCTGGGCATGTTAAAGCACTCTGCAGAGGACATTATATATATTTTCTACATGTGACCTGCCTTTGATTTTTGTGTTGAAAATGGAGTTATCTACCTTCAGAGGGAAAATATTAGCCCTCAGACAGTGAAATAGGATGATATTTTTTACTTTATTTCTGTAAAGTGGTATTTGGTGCAAAAACTATATAAGACTGAAATGTAGAGTTTGAGAAGTCAGAGGTCAACACGGCAAAATTTGGCCAGATAGTTTTTACATTTTTGGGCTGACCATGAGTTAACAGCTACTGATTCCTTTAGCAAATTCCTGCCTAATTGTTATTTTTCCTTTATTAAATTGTCCTTTATAAGGACATCTGTTCTGTTCTTTGCCAAGGTGTAAGATACAATCATATCTTAGAATTTGTAAAGTAGTTTGGACAACACAATAATAAATCTATTCTGATGATGAATCCTACAAAGGAGACATTGTCCATCCCCCACCCAGCTTAGCACATCTCACTGTCAGGATATTTTTCCTAACACTGTGACTCTGCCTCTCTTCTGCTGAAGTATTTCCTATAATTCATCCCTTTTTCCAGCCCAGATCACTCCAGTTTCTTCACCTCCTTGGGACAACTGCATTGCTCCCTAATGGCAAGTGAGAACCACCCCTGCTCTGAGGACCAAGGTTTTGATGGGTGGCTGAGTACCAGGGAAAGTATTTGTTGCCACTAAGGGGTCCAAGAAAATTACCTCCTGAGTTACAATCTGAGCTACCCCACCCTGAATTAAGGACAGTTTAAATGCTAATTCAAAGACATGCTTTACATGAGGATAGTCACAGGAATTCCACTCCCAGGGAGGAAAACTTTACCTTTCCAGATCTTTTCAGCATCTAGAAGTATATGAGACTGCTGTTCTGAGCTGTCTTGCAATGGGGCAAATTGCTGTCTGGAGAGGTAAAAAAAAATCAGTTTCCATAGCCTGGGGAAGAAGTTTTCATAGCCTGGGGATGACAACTCAAATCTAGACAGCAAGATCTAAAGGGGTCTTTTAATATAACAGTGATATATTTTGTAAAGGTTGGAAAAACAGAGACTTGATTTGTAGAAATTAAATCTGGAAGAGAAACTGTGAAGAGCAGGAATGGTGCTAATAGTCTCCAGCATTGTGCCACAGAGAAATAATTCTGTACAATTGTGGAGAAACAATGGCTCAAAGAGGTCACATTTTTGCTGTCCTGGGCTTATGACCAGGCATCTGCACACTGGTATGAGTGGATAGTCTGAGAATAAAGGACTGGACAGAAGGCAGCAACCAAAGATAAAGAGATAAATGCTAGGGAGCCATCAGCTTTGTGACAGTTGCTGCGACTGAATTAAATCATAGAGGAGTAAAACTCAGCAGGAGATGGGGAAGCATTGACAGAAAGTGGGAAGGCAGAGAGAATACTGAAGAAATTATTGGAACACTGGAAAACAAAACAACCAAGCATCAAGTTGTGGAAACCCATGGTGGGGAAAGGGAGAGTTGTGGGAGATGGGATGATTTGCTCTCATCTTCTAAGGGCTCCACATTCCCATGAATGCTTATAGCTTTGCATAAATTCACACACAAAACATAAGGAGCAGATTAAGCTGAACTGGAAAGGAACCACATTGTGGGGATGTAATAATTAAAGGCAGTTGCTGGGCAGCTGAAGTGTAGGGGAGATTGATTATAAATAGACAGAGATAGGTTTGCTGGAGTGGCTAACATGACAGTGATCCTGACGGAATGGACAGCAGCTGCAGGCAAGTCCAGGACAGGGAAGGTACTAGTCCTCTTGCCCCACTCACCACAGGCAATAGCCCCAGCCCACTTTGAATCTCAAAACAGAAAGGAGGGAGTGAAAAAGCCATAAACTGTGTATCTCTGAAGACAAAATAATCTGTGGCTGTGTACATTGTTTGTGATATTGAGAATGACATCCTGACTCACACTCCTTAGCAGCTTTATCAGTATAACCATCAGGGCTTTGGCCATTATAGGGTAAAGCTAGCATCACCCTGGGTAGCATCAGAAGAGACTGCTACCAGGAGGACCACCACTATTATTACTAGCTGCAATAAAAAAAGCACTTCTTAAAATGTTTTTTCTACCTAATTGTCAAAACTGAATAATATTATCAGCTTTTTTTATCCTTTGAGTATTTTTCTAATAAGAAAGCGCAGAGATGCACTGCAAATAAAAGCAGAAGATTCGAGGATGCAAAGCAATCATGCAAAATGACTTTCATATCAGTTTGATAAGCAGCTGAAATTTAATAACTACATCTCTCCTATGGTGCTGGATGAAAGTTTAATACTTTATGCTTTTGCTTCTTTCTTCCGCACGATGCTTATTCAGAATCATAACTTTTCCTTTTATAGTCACAGCAATGCTTAGGTGCGGTGGATTAATCGAAGCCTTACGAGACTCCAGTACAGTCCAGACTATAGTGACTTATAATCAAACCCTAGGAGAAGACTGTCAGGGGTCATAAGGGAAATGAGCAGAGATCCAAATGTAAAAGTAATATTTACCAAGGATAATGCACACAGATCTTACTGCCCCAGTAGGCAAGATGGAAGGCCAGTCTTTTACAACCCAGCTCCAAGAGATGCTGGATGCTGGAGATGCAAAAGAAAGAGGAAGGTAAAAATGCCTCTCAGAATTTGGCTCACAGATTTTGGCTTAAAATGTGATTCAAAACTCCAGGAATGTGAGGCAAGATACTAAAGATACTAAATCGATAAAGTTCAGCTACCAACAAACAATTACAACACCGGAGGAAAAAAACCCCAAAAAACAAAAAAACACCCAAAACAAACAAACAAGCAAACAAAAAAACCCCAAGCAAAACAAAACACTAAAATCCCCCAAAAACCAGCACCCTCCCTTCTCATTTGCAAACCCGTGCTGGCAGCATTCAGTGCAGAGGCTTTTCTACCTGTAGGTGACAGAGCCCCCAGCCCGGTGTCAACTGCCCTACCTTGGAAACCAGCACGGGGCTAAAACAGCTGCACCGGGGACCTCTGAGCCCTGCCCGACAGGCTTTTCCGCTGTCAGCTTGTGCTAGGAAGGGTCACATGGACACAGGGTCACGGCCAGGCGGGCGTGGGTCAGGGGGAATCAGGGAGCCAGGTGAGGCGAGGTGGCCAGGGGCAGGTGAGCAGGCGGGGGGCTGGCAGGGGCAGAGGACGGGGCAGAAAACAGGGGGAGGGGGCAGAGTGAGAGCAGAGAGCAAGCAGGGTCCTGTCAGATAGGGACAGGGGCTGGGGAAGGAGGCAGACGGGCTGGGGCAGGAGCAGGGACAAGGGCTGGGCAGGAGCTGGGGCAACGACAAGGGCAGAAGGAGGGGCAGGAGCTGGAGCAGTGGCAGGAAAAAGTGTAGAGGCAGGGACAAGGGCAAGGGCAGGGACAAGGGCAGAAGCAGGGGCAGGGGCAAGAACAAGGGCAGTGGCAATACCAAGGGCAGGCACAGGGACAAGGGCAGGGGCAGGGACAGGGGCAGGGGCAGGAGCTGGGGCGGGGACAGGGACAAAGGCAGGGACAGGAGCTGAGGTAGTGGCAGTGTCAGGGACAAGGGCAGTGGCACCGACAAGGGCAGTGGCAGGGACAAAGGCAGGGACAGGGACAGGGGCAGGACCTGGGGCAGGGGCAGGGGCAAGGGCAGGGGCAGGGGCAAGGGCAGGGGCAGGGGCAAGGGCAGGGGCAGGGGCAAGGGCAGGGGCAGGGGCAAGGGCAGGGGCAGGGGCAAGGGCAGGGGCAGGGGCAAGGGCAGGGGCAGGGGCAAGGGCAGGGGCAGGGGCAAGGGCAGGGGCAGGGGCAAGGGCAGGGGCAGGGGCAAGGGCAAGGGCAGTGGCAGGGACAAGGGCAGGGGCAGGGTCAAGGGCAGGGGCAGGAGCTGGGACAGGGAGCAGGGACAAGGGCAGGGGCAGGGGGCGAGGTGCCGCCTGCTCCGCTGCAGCAGCGCCCCCTTCTGCCGGCTGGCGAGGCCGCAGCCGCGCTCGGCGCTGCGGGCAGCTGCGCATCCCTCGCATCCCGCGGGCTGGGAGGGAGGCTCGAGACACAGGGGAAATGTAGAGCGTGGCTGGGAATTAGAAAAGAGGACTTAAAAATCAAAAAACTAGAAGACAGTCGTTTGCAGGCAGATGCTAGGAAGTCTCCGGATTCACTGGTGGACGGGTGCGTGGCTTCAGTTTCCAGCCTGTGTGTGTGTGTGTGCTGCAAAAACAGATAATAAAAAGAATACAAATGAAAGAACATCTGATGTAGTCATCAGATCTAACTACAGCACTTTAATATGAATTGCAGCTCCAGATGTTGTCTTAAGAAAATGAATCAATTAGACAAATGAGGAATTTCTTCCTAAATCATAACAGGAGAAAAAGTCCAGTAGCTGCAGACTATTGTATAAATGTCCTAATGGCTTTCATTCTTCTCATATACCTGTCAGCTTTACTACAAGGCTTCTCATCGTTTAAGTTGTTGTTTACCTTCCTGAATACTGGTTTGATTTGAAAAAGTGTTCTAAATGTTCAACACCTTTTACCCTGAAAATAATAATACATCAGCCTTTAGGAGTTGAACCCAGCAGAAACTGGTGTCACTATTCATAAAATAATTGAGTTTACACAAAAAGTGATTTCTGTAATAGCCCCCTTTTTACAAGTATGTACATTTTATTTAAAATTACTGACTCAAAAAGCAAGGTAGGAAAAAATCACCTCCAACAACTTCCTGTAATTGCGAATTATTGTGAGGGAAACAGAAGGAAAAGATTTTGAAATTATGAGCCATTATGCTTGAGAGAGAGAGGGAGTAAGTGAGAGAGAGGGAGAGGGGGAGAGAGAGGCAGTGGGAAAAAAAGACATCTCGGCTTCATGAAACACAGCTGACAAGCTCGACTAAATTACCCCCGGACCATTACAAAAATCACTTAATTGCCAACCATTTTGTTAGGTCAATTGACTCTAATTGAAAAAATAACAAAAAGCTTATTATGCTGCAAATGCGGCCGTGGAAAATGAGTCTTCTGTTAGGAGGAAACAATAATTCTAAATTTCAGCTGCTGCTAACACTACAAAGTTCAGTGTTTTCTTCTGATAGAATCTACTGTGCAGGGGAAAGTGAATATGCTGCAATTGATTGATATTTCTTTTAATGCTGCCCCCTCTTCCTTCTTCATACTCACAGCCCCTTCAGTCGACCCACCCACCCCGCTCAGTTTTATTTCCCTTCCTTGTTGCCTCGTGGCTCTCTTTTCCGTGGCAGGGTTGATGTCAGTTTTTGTTCCTAAGGCATTTGTGGTTTGGGGGTGTTTGAGGCTGCTGTGACTCCTCTTTTCAGCTTGTTCACAATAACCTCAAAACCCAGGTGAGGGCTTAGGAGAAGCACCTTGCTAAAACCTCCTAGCCCCCTTCGCTTTCCTCTTTTCCTCGCACACTGTAATTTTCTTTAAAGCCTGATAAGAGAGAATTGTTTACATATTTTCACAAAAAAAAAAAAAAAAAAAAAAAAAAAAAAAAAAAAAACAAAAAAAAACCTTAAAAAGAGTCTCCCCAATGTAAATTAAAAAGCACAAACCCTGACTGGTAAATAGGATTCTAATTACTTATAATGATCAAATTTTTAGGAGTGTGTGCATGAGTTTGTTCATTTCTAAAGAAGATAAACTGTCTGGAGCTCCACTATTGTCCCAAATGCAGATTTGAATACTGGAGGTTCATAATGGGATTGATTCTACTCTGTGAAAAGTAATTATTTGTCCATAAAACCAGGAGGCTGCAGAAATGAACTCAGATGGCAACAGCCTTTTGTTCAGCTCCTTTGCAGTGAAGAGGTAGGGAATGGAAGAAACTTCTCAGTAGCCACGGTGCATGATTAAATATTTCCATAATCATGTCTATATGTTTGCTTCTTGCACTGTGTTCAGAATTTTTTTTTCTGATTTTATCATTTCAGGGAAACTGCCTGACTGCATTGCACTTTTACAAGGCCTAAAACTCTTGAGCCAACTGCAGTGAAATGGTGAACAAAAACCTATGTAATACAGCAGGATGTTCCTTCACAGTATTTTAGAAAAAAGAAAAAAAAAAAAAAAAAGCAAAAAACTTTGTGTATGTGTATGCTTTTGCTTTGCCTTTTATAGCTACAGTAGATCTTCCAGTGCTTTTACAAAGCAGTGAGTTAAATACTGGTGGCGTGGTGCCTGTGTAGGCAAACGGCACAGCCATTAGTGCTCAGCATACGTTTTTATTGTTTCTTTATATAGAACCCAATATCACTTACACAGAGGGGGATACAACAAATATATCAGACCATGAAGCACACATATGTGCTGTTTCTTTCTGAGCATCCGCAGCTGTATATAATCAACGGAACATTCCTTTGGAGTGCACCACAGGTCAGCAGGAACCTTGACACACAGCTGAATTTATGAGTGATCACATTGTTTTAAATATGCATCACTTAGATTTCTACAGGTGTTTAAAGATTTGCCTCAACATTCCCTTTTTTCCCTTTTTTTTGTTCCTTTTGTGAAAGGCGTGCACATGGAAAACAGAGATTGTATAATTAAGGCTTCCATTTGGATGCTAAAATTGATATAATTCACCATAACTGACAACAGAGAATATTATATCATCTCTAAGAAAAAAAACCCACTCAAAATGCTAAAAAAAAAAGAAACTTGCCTGAGTGAAATATTGCTTCTAATCAGGGACCAGAAAACCTCGAAATTCACCAAGCCTTGCTGAATGTGGGGGAAATTAGGAAAAAAAAAATCTATTTTTATACTTCAAAATACATGTCAGTAATTTTGTCTAAAAGTATAAATCAAAAATAAAAACAAACAACACATTAGAGAAACCCTGTTTGAAACATGTGACTTAAAATAAAACAAGCATTATTAATTATCTGCTTCCTTTATAGTAGGAAAGATATAAAATTAAATAGATAAAATCTTAAGAGAAACCAATGTGCATGTATTGAGAAAAGACAATGAAGCTTCACAGACCGAATAGAACCAATTCCTTTCAAATAAGCGGGAAAGCCCTACAGAGAGAAATAAAAGTGAGGAATGGTGAATTCTGTAACACTTGCCAGACCAATGAGCTTCATCAATTAATCACAGCAAAATAATCACCACCTACATTAAAGAATAATACATGAAAAGGACAGGGCATAGCTTTAACTTATTCAGAAAGGGCTGACTCCCTAATCCCTCTGAGTCTTGACATGTTAACTGGGTAGCGACTAATTAGATGTCAAAAATTCATAAGCACTCTTTAATATTGCATATATCTGCGGCAGACATTTCAATATGAGAGTTGTATACACAGAAGTCACTATAGCATTAAAACACAGCAGGGTGGGAGAAATAAAAGGAAAACAATAAAAACAATGGCCCTTAAAAACCCAAGAGAATGCCTCCTTTGGAAGTGTGTACTTTCTTATTCAGAAAAGGTATCACCTTAATAAGAATTATAGGCAAAGAGGTTTCACTGTTCCATGCTGTGTGGACGAAAAGAGGGAGAAAAGACTGACTTATCAAAGGCACTGGCAGGTAAATAGTAATTTACTATGCATGCACAATGAACATTACACAGTGCCTTGACACAGGGCGATAATGAAAGACATGCTATTGTGGCATCCATCGAGGGAATTTTTTTTCTTCATTCTTCCTTCCCTTGTCTCTCTTGAGTAAAGAAGCAGTGATGTTTCCTGGCAGCTGCCTCCTGTTTCAAGCCATTTCACATAATATAGAAAGAAGCTGAAGTTTAGTGTATTAAGTAAGTGAGTTAGTTTGCTGGTTTGGCAATATATACATTGCTTGTGTGTGAACTTATATTTCAGATGCACGGCTCTGTATTTTTACAGAACAAGCCTTTTCCTGTCTGAAGAATTATATGAACCTCTTATATACAACAAAGCAGCAAGATTAAAAACAATGCATCATATAATACACTGTTTTATGACTTGCATCCCTTAATTGTCGCTCTCAGGAATAAGAAGAGAGCAATGTGCTCTTGTTTATATGCAGAATTGCCATTCTCTCTTTTGACTAACAATGTGTACTGTACAGGGCTAGTAGTCTGTGGAGATTCCTGTATTTTCTCCTTTACCAACCAGCAAAGTTAAATTTCACTTCTTCGATGCTTCTAACTAGCTCACAGGCAGCAAGCCTTTGAATTTAGCCTGCATGCAGTATGGGAGGCTGTGACTGTAATCCTCCCATAGCTGCTGCTGTTTAAATGTGACATGGCTGCAACTGGAACGTTTTAATTATTTTAAAAGTGTAAAATCATGTAACATGATGATATAAGGTAAGCAACCTCATGCAGAGAAAAAAATATAACATTTGTATATCTCATGGGACTAGCATCTAAAGAGACAATGTGGCTCTTCTTGTACGTTGCAGTGTGTGT